GTAAACATGCAATCCAGACACTGATGGACAGATGGAGGTATGATAGCTATGATCAGCCTATTTTAATTCCTGGCGACGTTTCTTCACAAGGTTCTGAGCTGAGAAGGTGGTATGGCATTGCACCAGTTGATCTTCATAATCTCAGTGCTGTATTGGTTGAAAAAGAAGTTGAAACACGATTCCTGTCCTATTTCTTGAAGATAAGTTGGATCCCCAGCACAGATAGTAAGTTTGTTGTCACAGTGGCTGGTTGGGATCCTAAGGAGAATAAGAAAATGAACTGCAGAGGGTAATGCCAGAAAAGTGGCATGAGCAAATAAAAGGTATCCTACTGCTTTTCAGTTTAATTGTCAAGGTTTTAGATAGATAATCGATCTGAAGAGATTGGTTTGTATAAACCTACATGCTTCCAAATCCACAGAAGTATTTTCTCTTGGATTGACAAATATATTAACTGACTTTGTGGCTCTGGGTGCATCATTGTAGTGAATGCAGCTGGCCCGTCTAAGGAGTAAATACATGCTCAGTAAAGCTTTTATTTGTTAATGACATGGTTGCAGTCATAAATCCACAAGATACTATGCCACTGAGAACCATGGACAGGACGTGTAGGCAAAAGTACTATGTTGAGAAAAACTTGCCAAGCTTTTGGGCATCAAACAGTTCTTTATGCTAGAAACAAAAGTAGTGAATGTCAAAGAGAAAAGCTGGAGAAAATTGTTTGGAGTCTAGGGAGGAGAGTATCTTACTCATATTCTCACAAAAGATAAGGTAGGTGGAGTGGAGGGGACATAAAGGTAGCTTATAGCTTGTGGACATGGAGAGGGTGAGAAATTATAATATCCTATAAAATTTCAAAGTCCACTTTTCCTCAGCAGAATTACGAATTCTGGTTCCCAGATCTGGGACCACACTTGTTAGGATATAAGCTATTTTATATAGGATTTCCTGCCTTCAGTGGGAAGGTTTTAGGTCTGCAATGAAAAGACTGAAAATCACTTTATTAGATCTGCAAGGACAGACATGGGTACAAAGACACAATGGAAGTATATCTGTGACTGAGTGGGGAGCAGAAAAGCAGGGAGTATTACTTAAATGTTTTGTGCTTTAATAACTCGGACTTTTTTTGCTTCGGAGTGATGAGCATGGCATGAACTGGATAAAAACAAATTGAGAATGGTATTACAGTCCCTGGCGTTAGTTCTATAAACAGGCCAAAGGATCAAGTACATGGCAAATTTTAAGATTGCCAATCTGTGAATATGAGATTGAGAAATTTGCTTGGATTCTCTGAGATGATGAACTTAATCTAGTTACTGGTTGGTACACTATGACACCAACAAAAGTACCTTTAGTAGACTAAACAAATTCCTTGCAGATTTGAGCATGCAGATGTGTCATTAATACTAAGTACTACGGTTTCTAAAGCTGTTGGAGGTTTAATGGGCTAGATATTTTTACCACGTACATTTTCAAGCAACAGTGTCTGAATTCAAACAACTGCAGGGAGTCTCTGTTGTAACGAACACGTCTCTCTTGTCCCTTCGAAAGCACAAACACTCTGTTAGGTCATAAGGTGCCATCTGCAGGGTCTATGGTGCCTAGCACAACCACAGTTATAGCAGAAATCCATTTGATCACTTACATGGTTATTAACAATTTTAAACTGAAACCTTTTCAACTCTCAGGAAGTTTGTGGAATCCAAATGTAACTGTTTGTAAAATAGAGACAGAAGTGAATTTTACAACAAGCAGTCTTGGGCTTGAATATTTAATACTGTGCTTCTTGAAAAAAATGTGGAAGCAAAGGTAATTTTCTGTTAAATCATAATAAATTGAAAACATAGTTGTCTAAGTTCTCCTTCTGTATTAGCAGAGCAGGAAGCATACGCTTCCACTGAAGTCAAATCAGCAGCGCTGGCCAGCAAACAGAAAAAAAGAACTGTGGTTGCTTTCAGAAGAGCTCTGCTCCACTGTTATTTTACTTTTGAGATGATATTCTTTATTTTTAAGAATGTTTTTAAACAATATTATTTTATTCAGAAAGAGATTGATTAATCAATGAACATGAAAATCTGTATTAATTAGGCTTCACTAATGTGAAATGCACCGTTTGGAATTCCTACTAAGATATTCACCCTATTTTGTTATAGTAGACTAGTAGATTTAAAGATAAATATATGCATGATCTGTAATTCTGATGTTAAGAATATATAATGGTTTTAAAGCCTATTAAATGCAGTTTGAAATGCAATTAAATATTAAATGTGATTTAACTTAGTAATGACTCCTGTTATGATAAATGTCTAACTTTTTTCTCCCTCCCACACTCTTTGGGATTTCATTTCATTATTAGATAACTGAAACTAGAATTTCTGTGAGGATATTAGGGAATGATAACAGCACTGATAATTCTGTAGAGGTAAGTAACATTTTTTATTTATTTTCAGTGAAAAGACTAGTACAGAAGGAAATACATGAAAGTAATTAATCTGTGCAGAAATCCCATGTAACTGCATATTGGAATTACTCTTTTTTTTTTTCTTCCACATAATTCCTTACTTCAGTAAGTGTGAATATGACTGCCCAAGGCTTACAGAAAACCTAATAACCTGCGTGCAGATGAAAGCCAGTGGTTAGCTGAGTATTTATCTTTCTTGAGTCAATATTAAATGTAAGCTAAACAGAAACTGCTCAGTGTTGTTTGTTGCATTATGGATCGTGTATACTCAGCAGATTCCCCCCCCACCCCATGTTTCCAAAAAATCTGGGAAAATGTATGTTTTGGTATACAGATACTTGACTGTCAAAATCCAGTTAAAAAGCAGGTGACTTTGGTCTTAGCTGACTTTATGCACACCAGCCTTGGCAAATTTTGCCTTTCATCTTCTTAAATGTTGAAGTTTTATCCTTAATACAGTAATGCCACAGTTCCAGAATTAGTTATTTTGTAACTATTGCTCATGGTAAAACTCTAAACAAAAGGGAAGCGAGGAGAACAACTGATGAGATGTCAGGCTGCGGGAGGAGGTATGTTCCAGAAACGTAGGAGGAACATGGAGGGAGCAGATTCAGACTGCTACGTTTTGTTTCTTTCAAAGCAGGGAAGAAAATTCTGTAACTTGGTCAGCAGCTCTGTAGCTCTCACTGTGATTATTAACCATTTTGCATTGCCTTTTAGCACACTTTCTCTTCCATGTACGGACACTAGAAATGCTCCTTTCAATAATTCTTTAACTGAAGACAGCTTTTTCAGCTGTCTTGTTTCAAAGTGATTGTTCTTTTTCTTCCAGAGATCCTCACAACCAATTCAGTGGGAAGATTTGTGTGCATTCTCCTCGGTGCCCTCCTCGTGATAGTATGTATTATAGCTGAGGTAGCTTGCGTCATCACAGACCAAGGTAAAAGTTCTTTTTTTTTTTTTGACCTTTAGTATTTCTGTAATTCCTGTTCCTTTGAGTTTTGCTGCAAGCGTCCTTTTAGATGACATAAGATCATATGAAGGACACTACCTTTTAGGTATCATTGTAATAGAAACTCTCTCAAGTTTGTTTAGGACACTCCAGATATGGCTACATGAATGTTTTAGTCTGAATCAGTATTGTGCTTTTGAAGGGAATTGCCCACTGGCCTCACTATGGGTTGGTTCGTATTGCAGGGTGGAATCTACTTTCAGATAAGGTTACAGCATAATTTGGGTGGAAATATCCTTTCTCTTTAGAACTTTCAATGAAAGCAGATTAAAGGGAAGTCAGTTCTTTCTCATATGCTTTGTACAAACTACAGTCATTGATCTTTGATATTTATTACATTCTTACAAGTGTTTTAATAGTTTTAATATAGATTCTAATTTCAGATATGGATTTGAGGTGTGATCTGAGAGTGGCGGGAGCCTTTATTACAGAAGGAAAAAACCCCAAACAAATACACTTCTGTAACTAAGGATTATTTGTTGGAGAAAAAGCCCACGTCCCTGTACCACAGGATTGAGGTTGGTGCTGGCTATATAAAAATGCAGGTAGTTCTTTTGAGTGTATTATATTGGATTTTTTTAAATAGGGAAAAGAGAGGATAACTACCATGGATAATGAAAAGCTAGCAAAAGCTTTTGATGATGAGAACAGGCAAGAGAAAAACTCCACTTTCAAATTCTTTCCACTGAGTAATATAGTTTATTATATAAGCAAAATACCAACAGCAACTGCAGTTTGGGTTCTCCATTTCACTTTTTCCATGACAATCACTTATATAACAATTTCATCTCCTGATAACATGAGAGTATGAATCAGAACAAGGCATTAAACCCACACCCTGCGTTCCTCAGCTATTGCTTCTGTGTACGTGTATCAGGAGTGAATCTCGGCTTAACATCTGCCACATCAATATTTTATACCTCTAATTCCCACACTGTGCAATTTTAATATATGTAACCTATACAAATGTAGTGATTTTAGCGATGACTCTGATACTCCATACACAGAATTCAGTGCATACCGTTCAAAAGATAAAGTATAGCAATGCTGAAGTCTTTTGCGCCACTTTTGGAAAAATCTCAGTTGAAGTTAGTTTTAATAAAATACAAAAATACCTATCAGCAGAAGATCAATACATCTGCACTGGAAAAAGGGGGCATGTGGGGAAAGGAATCCTCAGTTAATCATGTCCCACTGTAAACACATCCTTTACCATACAAATGCAGCTCGCTCTCGTAACATTCGGACACCAAAACGCTGCCACTCTCGCTGATATATCCATAGCTCCTGAGTTGTATCAAGACAGGCTAAAACTGCACCTCCTTTCCATGCAATTAAGCGGGGATCCATATCCTAAATTCAAAACACAGATTGTACACAATCACTGCTGTAAATTTGCATAGTTCTCAAAACTTGTATCCTAATTTTTCCAGTAGTTTTCACCACTTAGAATCTCGCGGGTGAGGGGAGGAGAAAAGAAGTTTCTCAAAATTATTCAGGAAAAAATAGTGAGATAAATATAGAAAGAATATTTATTGTGTTTAGAGAAGTCACGTTTTTTAAGATGTCTTGCAGACTTGTTTTGATTTTAAAAATTTTACCTAATTAATGCCAAATGAAAATTGCTCTTTTAATGCCATACTTTCTTTTACCTTAATAGTAATAAAAAACTCTTAACACAGTTTCTTGCTGAGCAGACAGGTTACCCTCATGGGCCAGTACTAACTGCTCCTTTAAGAATATGGCCTTTAGTTAATAAACACTTCAGTGATCAATATTAGTAACACTGGTGCCATACCTCTAATTTCCTGCCTATAGCTGGAGAGTGCTGTATTATGAGCTGAAAGCTATCCTAAATCTCCTCACATATGCAATGAATCTGTGGTTTTGAAAGAATAGATTTTTTTTAATCCTTTGAAGATTTCAACCAATCATTGTTCATTAACCATTTAGCTATCGGTTAACAGTATACCTTAGGTCTTGTGATGACTTCAACATTTTCAACGACTCTTCTAAAAGAAGGTGGCATTTTGTTGAGAATTCGGTGTTGAAGAAACTCTTGAGCTTTATGAAACATAAGGCCTCCTCCCACTACTAAGATAGAGCTGTACATCTTCTTTTTTGTATCATCAGATGCTGGAATAGATATATAGAAATATATCTGGGTTTTAAAGTTAATACGGTCTGTATTTGTATTATAAAGAATTTAGTGCAAGTCAAACCAGATAGAAACTGCTAAGTGTTTGCTTTTAAAATTCTTTTTCTATTCCTTGGAGATTCAAAACAGCTAGCTCAAGAAACCTCAACAAAGAATCAAATATAAGGATCAGTGTAGCTGCTCTAGAGATGATGAAAACTTAGGGACATATGTGTTACTTTGGTAAAATAGAGGAGTTAACATTAATCCACACTGACATGCATACCTTATAGAATTGATTACAAATGTAATTCTTACCGCAGCAGTCAATACTATGAAGAATGGCTTTGTCAAGGCCTAAGGCTTTGCCTTCAAACTGAGAAATAGCTGTTTTCCTGGACATGTGTGCAGTTAAAGGTTCCTCTGAATCATTTCCAGATATACAATCACTCTGGGAAGATCCCAGTTCCACTTCTTGTGGGTAAATCCTCTCTGAAATGTCTGAGGCTTGGCCTCTCAACTCTCCTTCAAATGTGCCAGGCTTTGACATAGATTTTCTATCAGCTGTAGCTTTTGCAGACTTAAAAATGAGAAAACAAGTTGAACTATGAAAAATGCAAACAGATCTTCGGCAGGTTACAGAACAATACAAACACTTCACTAAACATCACTGTACTTCTTGTCACCTTTATGCACAGAAAGGTTGAGCATTGTATTTTTTTCATTTTAATCCTCACTTTCAAAGTAAGAGTTTTATTTTGAACTCTATCAGATATATCAATGCGATATTATGAAGCCCTCTTAGACTCTGAAAAGAAACAGTTCTAAGTAAGGACTTGTCTAGACACCCGAAATTCCTTACTCTATTTCTTAATGCTTCTGGCCCAGATAACAAACTTTGGTTTCTGAGATGAGCTAATGAGTCCTGACTTTATTCCCCAATTAAATAATACTTAATGAAAAATAAAATGAGCATTCACACACCTGCTCCTGCTTACTTTGTGTGGCTAGCAGATAATGTTCATCATGAGGATCCTCAGGGTCACCTTGTGACCTGTGTTGCAAAGTTGTCATTTTTTGTCCAATAATTCCAAAAGTTGCTGGATAAAACAGAGCCATTGGAGCCTGAAGGAAGAGAGATTTGACATGGTTTTACTATACAGTTGTGGGTTTTTTGGTATTTACTATAAATAAGCTTGTTCTATTTTTCTCACAACTGAAAATTAAAGACACGTTTTTTTCAAATAGTTTTGTAAAAGGCTAAAGGGTCTTCAGCTTTGTATAATTAAAAAACCCCAAAAGATACAATTGTACATGTATATAGGTTTCTTTACAGATATTGGCATTGTATGACAAATAAGTATTCAAATGCAGTTTGTTAGAAAATTAGAAAAATTCAATGGTGAGGTGAAAAACTTGCAAAATTAGCACTTATTCCTTGCCCTTGAAGGATAAAAATCATCATATTTGGTTGAAGCTACAACCTTTCTGGCCAAAGCTTGTTGTGAAGTCTCGTGCATCCACTAGTGCTGCATTAGGCCCATTCATACATATAGGAATTAATTTTAAAACTATCAACGAGCATGTGTTAAGAACAATCCATAAATCATGTTGGCTTAGCAGCACTGGACCAATACAAAGTTAGGCACTGAGCCTGAATATGCTGAATGTAATTCTTGTAATTAAAAAAAAAATTACCTGTAATTTTTCATCTCCTAATCGGAACTGGTATAACAAAGCTGGAGAATCCGGATGACGAATCTGGAACTCATGGTCTTGCAATCCAGAAATATCCTAAGGTCAAAAACAATGTTAAAAAAAAGTAAAGTATCTTGTATATCTCTCTATCAAGCTGCATAATCTATTTAAACTGTAGGAAACAACAAAAAGTAACAAAACTCTTCAGACTGTGACTTTAATTTACCTATTCTTGAAGTCTTTTTAAAGTCTTTTCCTTGTAGCACAATCTACCGAAACAGCTTTCTACGTGCCTAAGCCCCTAAAATAAGGGTTTGTGCAGAAAGAAGAGACCTGCTGGCAGATCTTACAAAACTTAAGTTGAAAAACAGCAAATATGCAGCTACTATCAGCTTCTTTCAGTACTATGAGCAAAGAAACTACCTTTTTAAGAGTTGGGATTCTTTCAACTAGAAGAAAAATAAAACTAGTTACAAATACTTCAAGTTTAAAGCTTCTCCAGCTTTTTCCAGTATTCTACTAAGTGAAATATTACATTTTATTCCATTTATAAGCAATTGTAGACTTGCAAAAGGGTTGCCCAGAGAAGCAAGCTGTAAAGGAAAAAAAAAAATACTCAGGAGAATATACCATTTTCCCTTCTCACCTGGTCTAGATGACAAAATGTCTCCTTTAAGTGCTGAAGCAGCAAGCAATCCAACTTATTCGTTAACTGACAGTCTCTATATGGGAATCCTGCTCGTTGCATAAGCCAATAAAAACACCTTGACACGTCAGATCCTCCGTATGCAAGGCACAGCCTAAAACACAGAGAAGAAAAAGATTATTTTATTAATTTGCTGAAATACTGACCTTTTACAGTAACATACATAGGAATACAAGCAACATTTTAGACATGCTGTGATCATGATCACGTAGTTCACAGAGCACAGTATCAGTTCTGCCTGTTTTCTTCTTTTAAAGGTATCAGAATTCTTTAAGGTTCATACTGTAATGTGATGACCCTGTCATGCAGCTCACAGTAAAAAACCTTGTATTTGTAAAAAAAAAAATTTGTTTTTAAAGTCAAGTCTCTGTTAAGCAACTAAGTACATGCTTATAATAATTCCGCATATTAAAAGATACCTGGTGTTGCGATGGGAAACACCATCTTCTACACAGCAAACGCTTGTCTTCTGATCTCCCACATCTACTATGCACGCACTGCTTAAACCACTTCCAAAAGTAGCACAGACAGACTCCTGATGTACAACAATTCCTAGCAATATGAGAAAAAAAAAAAATATCCAATTTATGCCAAGCTCCAGAGCCATGCTGCTGACATTTAAAGGACATCCTAATGTCTTTTAAAACCTACTAATGGCCTGACTCTGCACTGAAAGTTTGTATATTTAGTGAAGATGGGGTTTGTGTGGGGGGGACGACTTACAGATTTTTTTTTTGTTGAGTAGGCCCTTGAAGTCCTGAGAAAAGCTGAGTGGGGTGGATGCCTATATTCAAAGGTTCTTATTTTTGCAAGTTTAAAGATACTGTCTCCAGACTTGACTTGTTTTTGTAACCAGTATTGCAGGGTCTTGGTTATAAGGTCCACATGAAGCATTTTCCTAATTTTTTCAAGTATCATTACTGTTAGCATTTTAGATAGGTTCTTTAAGTAGTTACAAAACAAACTCTAATTTCACTGTCTGCTTTCCGTTCAATCCACCTTTACTTCTGTAAAAAGAATATGTTTGTATTTCTATCACCACCTCATACTAGAGAAGAACTGGAGGCTTCAGTATATTCTTCTAGCCAACGAAGGAAAAGAATAGCTCAATTCAGCTGTGCTTTGTAGACAAAAACTAAGTAGAATTACTCTTTTAAACAGGAGGTTGGAACTAGATGATCTTTAAGGTCCCTTCCAACCCAAACCATTCTATGATTCTATGAAATACTTTTGAATAGATTAAGATAATTTAGTTATGCTGCATAATTAGTTCAGCTCTTCACCAAATTATTATTTAGGAAATGACACTCTGATTAATGATACTGTTTAATTTTCACTTTCAAGTATCAGAGGAATATGAAGCTTTGCATTATTAGTATTCTTCCTGTTCCTCTGAAGCTAACGCATTTCAATTACAAATTCTTCTGTCCTAGTACTGGTACATTTTTACATAGTAGTATTATTAGGTACTGTTCACATTACTTCTATGTAAAAACTGAGGAGGAATCAAACAAAGTAAGATTTAGAACCATTCTGATCAAAATCTAAAACTAACAGCAAATCTGGCTTGTTCATTTTAACACAATGAAACAAATCAAATATATATATATGCATGTCAACAAAATTTAGATCTCATGAGATCAGTCTCTCTTTTTGCAGTGTTTATTTACCACCTATTTAATTCTTTCAGATGGGAAGCAATAATATCTAAGCACACATTCTGCTAAGAGTAATACTTGGGAACCGCTTGCACTTATTTTGTACCGATTAATTATTAAACAAGAGCACTATTAATCTCCAACATCTTACAATTAACTTACTGTTTGACTAGTCTCTATCATTTAACTTACTATTCTTGTCCACTTTTTAAGCCTCTTTCCTTGCATACCTAATACAAAAAAGGACTTTGCAGCACCAAAGGTACTACTAGTATGATTATTTCAAATTAAATATGGTCCATATGGTTGAGTTACTGTGCCTTCCATAATGACTTGCTGTCTTTTCTCTAAATGTGAAATCAGAGAAAATTGGCTAAGGCTACAGCAGTTCTTTCCAGAAGACTAGCCAGAGACTTCCAGCAGTTTAACTGAAAGGAAATGCATTACTCTTTCCTCACATCAGAGGGCTTTCCAAAAATAAATATGCAGAAGCAGCTAACAACTACTTGGTTATTTTTTTAAAATTGTATTGCCTTCTATATTTAGTGTATGCACTTATGCAACTCTGAAACCTCCTATTATGTCATCCTGTAGAGAGGGCAGTAGCAGTGTCTTACATCACATACTTTTGTTTTGAAGTCTAAGAATCTTAATATTCTGTGGAGTTAACATCATGCATTTTAGAAATACTTGAGAAACCAGACTGTTGCTACTTTTATCTCAGCTGAAGTGAGAAGCCCACAGTTGGAATACCTAAAAGCAAACCAAGAACCTTGTTTCAGTGCTAGCCAACCATTTTGCCCCATTAAAGGAGATGACAGTTATGGGAATAGCAAAAAATGAAAGGTGCTAGTCCCAGCCAAACTGGGATTGATGTACAAAAATGTGCCTTAAAGGTAAAAAAAATTAAATCTTTACACTATTAATCATTAAGTGCTTGCTTATGTACAGTTTTACCTGAGAAGCCCATCTTCATTAGGATCATATTCACCAGTTCTTTCACATGTTGTTTATTGTAGATGTCTGGAATTAGTAAAATGCATCTGTAGTACTGAAGATAAGAACAGTAAATTAAAGCAAGCTTTCAAATTGAGTTTCTCTTTGCATTCTTGAATACCTGATGCTAAGGAAGAAAGCAGGATATATATATAAGTTATTAAAAGAAGCAAAATTATGGACGGAGGAAGGGTTTTAATAATTCAAAAAAAATTAGTTCAGAGTAAGTACCAAGTTAAGAGTTTATAGGTCACTGAAATGTTTAAAAAATACATCATCTACAAGAAAAACACCTACTCGGCAAGGAGAAGAAATTATGCAAGTATTAGGCACCCGTTCCTCAATGGCTTCCTGTTTAATCAACAAAATAAATCCCAAACAGACTATACTTCTATACTTCTATAATGGGATTTCCAAACCTCCTTGGTAGAAGTTCTATGAACAATTTTTGTCTTAAAGACACGCACAAAAGTCTTAGGAACCATATTCACCAGGAGAAAGCCTCTTACTGGTGGCTTTCTTAAAGAATAAATTCTAACAATAACAGCATGTTGCTTTTGTACAGTAAGGTTTACAGAAGTGGGTACAGCCCACAGTAATGTGTTTCCAGCTCACCTTTAGGTCTTTCAATGGTATTTCCAGATATTTTTGTATTGCATGTGACCATATAACTTCAAGGTCTGCTAATACTGCAGTGAGGGAGCCACCAGGTCCTGGGTGGAGATTCAGCTGCCCTCTTCTAATGGGCCAATGTATGTTATAAGAATCTAGTGGATTAACATACAGTGCCTGGAAATAAGAGACAATGTTCTATGCATTGTTTTTGCCAAAAAATTAGTAACAAATACTAGAAAAATATTTCAGAAGCAGATACAAGACATAGAGCAGCACTCAGACTGATGTGACAGCAATACACCAGATTTCTTTTCAACAGGGCTTGGTTAAAAAGCATTAAAATAAAAAAGGCATTAAATACATAGTTTAATTTATTTGAATATTCATATCCATGGCCATCTACTATGAACATAACAGTATATTTTCGCATTATCTCAAATTCATAACTAAAATAATTTAAAGACTCTTTGAAGCTCATGAATACCTAATTACTCAGCAGCGATTCCATGTAGCGATCCCTTTGTCAGTTTCTTGCCTTTTTCCAAATTATACCACGTGGACAAAGTTTTCACCTAGTCCCTGCAGAAACACTGATTTATAGCAGCAAAGGATCAAGGTTACTTCCTAGACAAATGAGAGAAACTGTCTGGTCTTGCTGAATGACAATAAACATTCAGTTAGTCCATAGTAAAGCATCTCATGTATCTCTTGACTAAATTTATATGCCTTTCAATACATACTAACATATAGCAAACTGCTACTGATTACACAGCTGCATTAAAATGTAATAGTAAGCCTCATTTCAGTGGGAAAATGAATCTTACCTCTTCTCCTACCAAAAATTCGGGATGATTTGATGTGTTTGTCCACTTGGCCCCAGAGCTGTGATCTAAAATAGCTGGCCGCATCTGTCTGTTGTATGACCTGGCCTGAAATGTAATCAAAACAAACGCTGTTGATAAATATTTTACCAGTAACTTGTTATACATGAAAGAAAAAATAATCCCCCACCCCTCGAAGAACCATTTTAAATCTTCATTTTCTCAGCAGAATTAGGCCACGCAATAGCACTATTCATATTTGCTATATAAAGGATATCTATTCTTCTCCACTAAAATAGAGCATGAACCAAATGACTATATGAACAAACAATTTAATAAAATCTTAAGAATGAGTTACCTGATCAGGTGACACTGGTATGCGCCTGGCGCCATTTGACATCTTTTTGGACCATATCGCTTGGTCCACCATTTTAAGGCCATTTTGTCTCTGCTCAGTACTTTCAGGTTTCTAAATAAAACCCAAAAATATGCAATGTAAATACTTTCTAACTATGTGTCTGTATGCTGGTAATACGGTAGCTATTATTAAACAATGAAATCATTACTGTAGTGATAGACTGTAGAAAGGACAGAAGGTTTGCCCATAGTACTATGAACATAGGCTTAGTTTCAAAGAAACTCTTTTTTATATTAGACACCTATTTGTCTAAGTTAACTTGAATCTTTTAACTGATTGTAATGGCTGCTGGATTTAATCTCCAAAGTGATGAGCTCAGGACATTATCTATTTAACTACAAAAATACTAAGTATGAGCAAAAAATGTTTCAATAGCTCTCAATTATTTAAAGGTGAGGTTTAATATTAGAGACATTAATTGGATTAACAATTTTTTGTACTGATTCGAAGTATGAATGCATTTTTTGAGCAGGTTAGACTAAAATTACTGGCTATGCTATCCAGGTTACAACCCAACTTATAACCAACGCATTCACAGAGCAGTCCAATTCTAGTTCTACAGCTGTGATTCCATGATCAGAAATACTGTGTGTGATATCAGACCCACAGAGCAGAGAAATCAATGTGTACAAACCCTCAACCTATCAATTTATTAATTTAGTTCATTGCAGCCAAATCAAATAAAGCCCTACACAGACTGGAGCAAATCTACTGACTTCAGTAAGGTGGCATCTACAGAACATAAAAAGGGAAAAAAATGTTTGTCTTGAGACATATTGCTCTCCGGAAAAGCGTGATGCACGAGGGGAAGATATGCATTACACAACTAAAAAATGCAACAGAAATAAGTAGCGAAAACACCCATTTTAGCCAGTTTGGAGGACGCGCCCCTCGGTCGGTGCCTGGCCCGGCTTACGTTGAGCCCGTCCCTGAGCAGCCAGCTGTCTCTGTAGGCCGCCT